CAGATGCCAAGGAGCTCAGAAAGTAACCGACTGTGACTAGTAATAATCTGATATATAGAGATTAGAAACACATGTGCAAATATCTTAATGTCAATTGCATTAAAAATGAAGTTTTCTGCATGAAACTGTATTTCAATAATTAAATGGAGATCTTTTTTAAAGGTTAAAATCTCATTTAATTTTATGTTTTATAGGGATTATACTGAGTACAATATTTTATAACTGTAATTCAACTGTAAGCCTAAAAATGTACAGCCAATTTTGTAAGAGATGCAGCCTAGCTCAGAAAATTGTTATTGAATATGTCAATGCTGTTGTAATGAAATGTTTCTTCTAAGTATGTGGTTATTAAATAAATAATTTAAAAAATTAATTAATTAAAAAATAAATAAATAAAAAGAACACCCAAGTCTCTGCTGCAGAGAGCTTTGTGGTATACCACTGCATCCCCCACCCCCCAGCCCTGACTCTTGTCAGGAATATCATTATGAGCCACCAGTATTAGACTGGGACAGTAGGGGGTGGGAAGGAGGAGGCAGGGCTCTGTACTATAGAACTGGGGAGAAGAGAGAGTGAGAAGTCTTGTCATGGCGTCCCTCCTTGCATATACCCAGACCCCATCACTCCATCTCTCTTGATAAAGAGAATTTATCAAGAAGTGATGAGACGTGGCCTTTCAATGCCAGCCATTGTCATCTAGACAGGCATTATCGTTAACCAACGTTCGTTTGGGTTTTGCCCTCTGCTTCCAACAGTCATATTGGAGAACTGATTATACCCAAGTAGACAAAATATGCCCCCTACATACTGGAGATTTCCACAGAAACTGCAAGTGTGAGAAGGAACTCAGGCTTTTATCTCCACCAGCTCTGGTCCTTGATTCTCATGGACAAACTGTGGTGAAAGCAAATTGAGAACTGGGAATATAGCTCAGTGGGCAGAGCACCTGACTGGCATGTACAAGACCCTAGGTTTGATCCCTAGCACGTGTAAACTGAGCCTGATGGTACAAACCTATAATCCCAGCACCCAAGAGGTGGAGGCAGAAGATTCAGACATTCAAGGTCACCCCTCGCTATATATCAAACTCAATGCTAGCCCACAGTAGATGAGACCCTGTCAAAAATTGAAGGGTCGGGGGGGGGGTGGCAAGCCAAGAGTGGTGGCACACATCTGCAATCCTAGCACTTGGGAAAATATAATAGTGGCTGAAGATCAGGATTTCAAGATCATCCTTGACTATGAAGTAAGTTCAAGGGTACCCTGGGCTACATGAGACATTGTTTTTTGTTTTTGTTTTTGTTTTTTTTTTTTAAAAAAAAAAAGCACAAAATTGCTTTTCTGCTGTGGGACTCCATATGTACTTACCATGAGCCCCAGGCACAGTAAAGGGAACCCCCAAGTGTCTCAGGCTGATCTCTGTGCCCTTTTTTTGCCAAACTCTGAGGATGGCACAGGGCCCTAAGGGCCCCAAGGGCTGCAGCCAAAGCTCCAAAGACAGGCTTTTCTTTCTGTCTAGGGAGCAAACAGCAAGGGAGAGGTGTGACGTGCATTCAACAGAATGCTAACAAAGCAGCTCTTGGGCTGGTCTTATCCCCTCTAACCCACATAATACTACCAGCCATAAGCTCCTACAGGGTCCTGTCTGGCAGGTCAAGCTTGTCCAAGGAGAGCATGGGGAGCTGAAGACGTGCAAACAACCCCTTTCCTAGAAAGATGACCCCCATCCCCTCAAAAGCAAGCACCAGCACGTTCATGCTCAGAAAATCTTCCTGATTTTTAAAAGAGGAAGCCGGTGTCTGATGTCTGCTGTGCTTCCCACAGCTGGGAAATCATTTGACAGTAAGAAAAACAAATTCTGAGTGGCATAAGAAATAACAACATAAGAGTTAAGATAAAACAACAAAAACAGCTCATGGAGCTGGATGTGGCTCCGATGACAGGGTGCTTGTTTAGTGTGCAGGAAGCTCTGGTCCCAGCTCTAGGACCACCTAAACCAGGCAAGGTGGTGGACTTCTGTAATCCCAGCACTTGTTATGTAGTGAGTTAGAGGCCAGCTTGGGCTGCGTGAGAGCCTGTCTTACATAAACAAGGCCAGGGAGCTGGCTCTGTGGGTAAAGGTACTTGCCACCACACCTGCAACTTGAGTTCAATTCCCCAGGACCCATATGGTGGAAAGAGAGAACCCACAAGTTGTCCTCTGACCTTCATGTGTGCTGTGGTATATGAGTGTGTGTGCGCGTGCACGCACATACACACACAAATAAATGTAATTTTAAAAATTGAAAATAATGCTGGACATGCTGACATATGCCTTTAATCCTAGCACTCAGGAGGCAGAAGCAGGCAGAACTCTGTGAGTTTGGTCTATATAGTGAGTTCCAGGCCAGCCAGGGATAATCAGTGAGACCCTGTCTCAAAAAATAAGTAAAAATAAAAGTAAACAAATTAACTAATTAAGAAAAACAAACAAACAAACAAACAAACAGCTGGTAATGGAACAAGATTCACACTGTAGCCCAGGCTACTCAGAGGCATGCTGTAGGCACCGACCTGTGCTGGAAGCCATGTTCTCCTAATGCCACATAACCACATGGAAAGTACCCAGCTCTCCTCCAGAGCCACTTCTGGTCATAGCAGGCCTCGTTAAACAGCTCTCCTGGGGGCTGGGGAGACAGCTCAGTGGTTAAGAGCATCGGCTGCTCTTTCAGAGGACCCAGGTTCAATTCCCAGCATCCACATGGCAGCTAACAACTGCTTATAACTCCAGTTCCAGAAGAATCTAACACCTTCTGCTGACCTCCTTGGGCATTGTACAACATGGGTGCACTTACATACATGCAGGCAATACATTCATACACAAAATAAAAATTAAAACACACACACACACACACACACACACACACACGCACACCAGCTCTCCCCAGTGGGGCAGGAAGCAAGGAGGATGACTTCTCCACAAGAGAGATGTAGAAGGGACCTGGGCTAAGCACAAGTCAGTGCAGACATGGCCCAAATGCCTGCCAGCTCTGTACACAGACTTCACAAGCCTAGGCCATGAGGTAAGAGACCACAAATCCAGGGAAGCTCAGCTATGAGTACTTACTTTAACTCTGATAACCCTTTGAACTCTGATGTAAAAGAAAAAGACAGGGAGCTAGGGATGTGACTCAGTTGGTATAGTGTCTGCCTGGCATTCACAAAACCCTAAGTTCCATGCTAGCACCACATAAGCAGGCATAGTGGCATACTCCTGTGTGTCATTCCAGCACTTAGGAGGTGGAGACGGGAGGATCAGAAGTTCAGTCTCATCCCTGGCTATATATAAAACTTGAGGCCAGTCACAAAGAAAACAAACAAAATGGAAAAGAAGAAAGGAAAAAGATCAGTTAGGTATGGTGGTGCACTTGGAAGGCTGAGGCAGAAAACCGAGAATTTGAGGACAGTCTGGGCTACATAGAGAGTCAGAGTGAGCTTGAGAAGCAGAATGAGGGTTCACTGGGATGGGATAGGAGAGAGAAGACAGACCCCAATCTGATCTCAAAGCTCACTCCATCCAGAGACTGAACTATTGAGCAGGACACCAGCTCTGTCAGTGGACAGTCAGGGAGAAGCCTAACCATGATGCACCCAGAGCAAGATAGAGAAATGGAAAGTTTCCTTCAAGGTCATCTTGGTCTGCCGCAGGCCCACCCTGCTACTAGGCAACAGGCTGTGGGAGAAGAGGGTCCTGGCATGCTGAGGCTGCCTGTCCATCTGCCTTCACACACCAGCACTTGAGAGTCCCTGATGAGCCCCACGGTAGGTGACAAGCCCCCGTGGGGGGCTTTTGGCATAGTCAAACGCACTCCGTGCTTCTCACTGTAATGGCCATGGTGGCAAAGAAAAGGAGACTGAATTCCTGCAAAGTAGTTGCTTTACATGTTTATGTTTTATTTTCATTTTATGTGTATTTGTGTATTGCCTGCATATATCTAAGTGCACCCATATCATGCAATGCCCACAGAGGCCAGAAGAGGGCAGTTGGATCCCCTGGAACTGGAGTTTTGGACAGTTGTTAGCCACTATGTGGGTGCTGGGAATTGAACCTGGGTCCCCTGGAAGAGCAACCAGTGCTCTTAACCACTGAGCCATCTCTACAGCACCAAAGTAGTTGCTTTAAAACCAAGCAAATGAGGGTCTAGGAAGGCTGCTCATTGGGTAAAATGCTGGCTGAGCATACATGAGGACCTGCATTCTGTAACACCTATGTAAATAGTTGGGCATGGCAGCATGCATGTCCAATGCCAGCACTGCAGGGCAAAGATAGGCTACTTGCTGCACAGCCAGTCTACCCAAATGAGTGAGCTCCAGATCCAGTGAGAGACCCTGCCTCAAAAAATAAGGTGGAAAGTGATTGAGAAAGACACCTGTTGTCAACCTCTGACCTCCACATGCATGGGGGAGTGTATACATGTGCACACACATGGATACACTGCAAACATGCACATAGCACATATACCCCCATATACAATTAAAATAAAATAAACCAAGCAGGTGAGACGGCTGTGTCTTGAGACACCCAAAGTCAGTTTTTAAGAGATCCCAGAACTTGGCCTACCTTGTCCACGTTGGCACGCGTCTTGGCTGATGTCTCCACATACTGCACACCCCACTCCTCCGCTTTGCTCTGGGCCTCATCCACAGGCACCTGCCTCCGCTCCTCCAGGTCAGACTTGTTGCCCACAACCAGCAGTGGAATTTTATCTTCCTCGGCCTTGACTCGGAGGATTTGTTCCCTAGGGGTGATGCATCAAGCACACAGTGGCTAAGAAAGCTAGAGTAGGAGGGGCTGGCAAGATGACAGGGATTAAGGTGCTTGCCACCAAGCCCAAAGACCTCAGTTTGTTTCCAGGGACGTATACATGGTAGAAGGAGCGAACTGACTGCTGCAAGTTGTCCTCTGACTTCCACATGAGTGCTATGGCATGTGTACACACACACACACGCACACACACACACGCACACACACACACACACACACAAATAAATAAATAAATAAATAAATAAATGTTTTTAAATTTTTTTAAGCTGGGAGTGGTGGCACACACGTTAATCCTGGGAGGCAGAGGCAGGCAAATCTCTGTGAGTTTGAGGACTGGTCTATATAATGAGTTCCAGGCTAGCCAGGGCTATATAGTAAGACCCTGAAGAAAAAAAGAGGGAGGGAGGGAGAGAGAGAAAGAGACAGACAGAGAGAGAGAGAGAGAGACAGACAGACAGACAGAGAGACAGAATGAGGGGAAAGCTGCTGGGTTTGTCTTTCTTTTTTCCTCTCTGTTCTTTGCTACACTCTAATTAGGCTCTTATACGGAGACTGCCACTTGGATACTGTTAAGTTTTAGATCATAACTGCTCCCAAGGCCTGTGTGTTTTAGGCTTTGGGCCCAGTCTGTGGCATTATTGGAAAGTGGAATCATTAGGAGATGGAGCCCAGTAGGAAGAAGCTAGGTCTCTTTTTGTCCCCATCCCCTCTCCCCCTCCCACCCTAGCCATCTACTGTGTGCTCCTATCCTGTCCCACCACAGGCCTAGAACAACAACAGGCCAAGTGACTTACACTGCAACCTCTGCAATCATGAGTCAAATAACACTTTTCTTCTAATAAGTGGATTACTTAGTATATTTTATCATGGCAATGGAAAGTTGACTAAAAATGCAATTGTGCAGGGCATGGTGGCACACACCTTTAATCCCAGCACTTGGGAGGCAGAGGCAGGTGGATTTCTCTAAGATTGGGGCCATCCTGGTCTTCATAGGGAATTCCAGGCGAGCTAGGGCTACAGGGAGACCCTGTCTCAAAACAAACAAAACAATTTTTTAAATGAAATTGTAGGGGCTGGAGAGATGGCTCAGTGGTTAAGAGCACTGGCTGCTCTTCCAGAGGACCTAGGTTCAGTTCCCAGCATCCACAAGGTGGCCAGCAACCACCTAAACTCCCATTCCAGGGAATCCGATGCCATCTTCTGACCTCCACAGGCACTGCATGACACAAGTGCCCTTACATGCATGCAGGCAATACTCACACACATAAAATAAAAATAATAAATAAAACATTTTAAAATGCAATTCTATAAGAAAATATGAAGTTTATGTGGTAAAGAGCCAGATATAGAAAAATTATGCCCCCAAAGCTCACTGTTTCTTTATAAGAAAATGAATTTACGGTAGCTTTAAAGGTGACATTTTATGAGCATACATCTATCATGGTGCCTGTGTGGAGGTCAGAGGACAACTTTTGTGGAGTCATTTCTCTCCTTCCCCCTTTATGTGGGTTCCAGGGATCGAACTCAGGTCACCAGGCTTGTGCAGCAAGCACCTTTACCTGCTGAGCCATCTTGACCACCCAACATTCTTAAATATATGGACTAGCTTTGTCCTCCTTCAGAGGCAACAAGATTTTAAGATAATGTATGTCTAGAAACCCTGAAGGAGAGCTGCACAAAGAGATGGCAGCAATGGTGGACCATGATGCACCAAGATTCAGAAAGCCCAGAAAGGCCGACAGAAGAGGGCGTCCTCATCACAGGCCCAACCTTCTCCACTATGCTCAGCCCAAGATCCCTCCCCAGGCAAGCACACCTGAACTCAGCCGTGGCCGTGAAGGACTCGTGCTCCGTGATGGAGAACACCAGCAGGAAGCCCTCTCCACTCCGGAAGTAGTTGTCACGGATGGCTGCATAGTCCTCCTGGCCAGCAGTGTCCAGAATGTCTATCTGCACCTCCTCTCCATCCAGGACCACTTTCTTCCTGTAACTGTCGGCTTTGGTGGGCTCATAGTCTTCTACAAACTGAGGAAAGAAGAATCAGTAACCAAGAGAAAGTTAAGGAAATCAAATCTACCCCTATGCTGGATGCTTCACTTAGGATCAGCCAACTATTACTGAGAGTTTATAACTATTACACCATACAGAAGATAGTAAAAAGAAAAACAGTACTTCATCTAGCCCTCCCTCCTTCACTCTTTCCCTCCCTCCCTTCCTGCCTCCCTCCTTCCTCCCTCCTTTCCTCTCTGCTTCCCTTCTTTTTCTTCCCTTCTCTTCCTCCCTCCCTCCTTCCTCTCTCCCTCCTCTTCTTCTTTCAGAGGCAGGGTCTTGTGTAGCCTAGGCTGGCCTCCAACTTCCTATGTTGCTGAGGCTGCCCTTGAACGCCTGATCCTCCTGTCTCTGCCCGCCAAGTGCTGGGATTCCAGATATCCCCATTATGCCTTCCTTTCTTGACAACTCTGGGTTATATCATGTTTTATTTAGGCTTTCAGCAACAGAAGCAGATAGACCCATTTCACAGATGAGAAAGTCAAGCACCAAGCTTGGCAATATTATTGTAAATATAGTGTAAAATTATAATGGCAACACTGGAAAAGGCAAGGCTTGGAGGCTTAAATAACTACAACATGATACAACTCCAAACAAGTCAAAGATGAAAAGTTAAAAATAAAACTAATAGACGGGGTTGGGGAAAGAGTTTGGTGGGCACACCACTTGCCATGCAAGCATAAAGACTTGAGTTTGATTCCCAGAACCCACATTAAAAAAAAAAAAAAAAAAGCCACGGACTGGAGAGATGGTTCGGGGTTAAGAGTGCTTACTGCTCTTCCAAAGTTTGATTCTCTAGGTAGTTCACAACCGCCTGTAACTCCAGCTCTAGAGGATTAACTCCTCTGACCTCCTTGAGCACCTGTACTTATATGCACATACCCACACACAAACACATAGAATTGAAAATAATTTTTAAAAATCCTTTAAAAGAGTCAGGCATGGCAGCACATGCTTGTAATCCCAGTGATGGGGTAGGTAAAGACAGGTGGACCCCTGGGGCTCGCTTACCAGCCAGCCTAGCTTACTGAGTGAGACCCAGGACAATGAGAGACCTTTTCTCAAAATACAGGGTGGACTGTGAGTGAGGAGCATTTCCTGAAGTTCTCTAGCCTCCATATGCACTCACACACATACACATGCATGTGCACACACATAAACACACACATGAATACACACACGAACACTGAAGCACTGAAGAGAAATATGGGCTAGACTCTTTATTACCTTGAAGTAGAGAAGGTCTTTTAACTATGACTCAAAATCCAGAAGCCATGTAAGAAAAAATTGATAAATTAGATTCCATAAGAAAAAAAACGATAGCACACCACAACACACCACAGAGACAAGTGACAAACAGAAAAAGCATCTGGACCTACAATACAAAAAGTTCATCTCTTTCATGTATCAGAGGTCCCCAGAACACAGGGGATGGGGCGGCAACAATCCAGTGGGGAAGGTAAGCAATGGACAGAGTCACAAAGCATAACAGACATGATGTCAAACAAGGAGAGATGCTCTTCTCACTAATACAAAAGAAGGGAGGAGGGAGGGGGAGGGAGAGGAAGTGAGAAGGAAGAAGGGAGAGACAGAAAAAACAAGGAAGAAAGGGAGGAGGGAGGAAGAGAGGGAAGGAGGGAAAGGGGGAAAGGGGAGACGAGAGAAAGGAAGGGAGGAGGGAGAGGAGGGAGGGAAGAACGACCCAGGTACCAGTCTGCATGCTTTGGGGAAAGTCAATTTTTGCAGCTGTGGGACAGGGAACAGGATAATCCCACAAGGAGGAATTTGTCTACATCTGACAAAATGAAAAGCACTTATCCCCTGTTGGGCTCTCCTGTTTCTAGGAAGCTAATTTCCAGAAATGCAGGCAGGAGAACCAGGAAGGAATTCACTGTGCCACTGAGTGTCATCAAAAAGATTAAGACTCTCCTAAATGCCCAGCAAATAGCTAGCTACACAGCAGAATACTACACTACTGCAAAAACTGAGGAGAGGACCTATATACAGACATGTAGAAAGTTCTAAAACATGACACTATGCCCTTGTGCACAGGAAACCAGCAAGAGAAAAGATTGTTACATGGATACATGTGGAGATATTCGAAAAAAGACACTAAGAGAAAAGGCAAATTTAAGTTGTCCAAAGGATAGCTGAACGTGGTGGTGCATGCTTTTAATCCCAGCACTTGGGAGCAGAGGCAGGCAAATCTCTGAGTTCGAGGCCAGCCTAGTCTACATAGTGAGTTCCAGGTCAGCTGGAGCTACACAGTGAGACCCTGTCTCAAAAGATAAGGAAAGAAACTAAGCTAATATAAGAACAACTTGAAAATCAATTGTATGATATAGCTGGACTTCTTCACACTACACATAAAACATATCTAACTTAAACCAGATCAAAGACCAAGCTATAAGAATGAAAATATAAATACTGAGGAGAAATCACAGCGCAACCATTTTTGAGCCTAGACTTGGCAATGGATTCTTATGCATGATATTAAAAGCACAAGTAACAAAGAGAGAAATAATTGGGGGCTGACAACATGGTTCACTGGGCAAAGGTGCTTGCCACCATGTCTGACAACCTCAGTTCAAGCCCCAGAACACACATGCTGGATGGAAGGAGAGAACTGACTCCCTCGAGTTGTCCTCTACCCTCCACATGTACAACGCACCATGGCAACTGTGTACACGGACAAAAATTAATAATAATGGATTAAAATTCAGAAATAAATAATTAGACTTCACTGAAATTTAAAACTTTCATGAGCCAAAGGACAGTATCATGAAAGTGAAGGGGGCACCCTGAATATAGAGATGCTGTTTGAAATTTACGGGTCTTACAAAGGATTTAATCACAACACAAAAAGAATTTGTGAAATTCAACAATAAAAAGAGAAGGCATCCAATTAAACCGACGTAAAGGGGCCTGGTGGAGTAGATGAGTGGCACAGTGCCCAGTGAGTGTGTGTGACATCCTGGTTCAGTCTCCAGGTCAAAAAATAAAGGCAGGGAGGGATGAAGGGAGGTAGGGGAGGAGAAAAGGGGAGGGGCAGTAAAGATAGGGAAGGCAGAAGGGGAAAGAGGGAAGGGGAGGGGACAAAGGAGGAAGGAATCTAAATAGACAGTCCTCCAAGGTATACATACAAACAAGTACAAATGAAACCACAATGATGGCTACATTGAAAAAACTGGACAATAACAAGTGGTAACAAGAATATGGAGAAACTGGAGCTCAAACACTGCCAATCAGAAGGTAAAATGGTGCTGCTGCTATGGAAACAGTGGCAGTTCCTCAGTGTTTAAACACAGACCTACCATGTGACTCATCACAGCCAAAGTTATTCCCAGAGGAATTTAAGACCTATGACCACACGAAAATTCACAGCAACTACTCATAGTCGCCCAAACAGTAACAAATCCAAACACTCATCAATTCATGAATGGATCAACAAAACATGGAGTACTGTGATGGTGGAACATACTGAGTCACGAAAGGAAAGGAAATGATGATTCATACCACAGCATTCACTAAGCCTTGTCAAATAATGCAAATAAAAGAAGCCAAATACAGACTACATAGTGTATAAACTTACTCATACAAAATAGACAACTCTGCTGGATAGAAAGAATTGCACTTGCCTGGTGTGGTTTGAAAGTGAAATGGCCCTCACAGGCTCATGCATTTTGAAATTTTGGTCCCCAGTTGGTGGCAGTTTGAAAAGTTGTGGATCCTTTAGGAGAAAGGAAGTGGGTAACTGGGAGCAAGCCTTGAGGTATGACAGCCCACCTTACTTCCTGCTTACTCTGTTTCCTGATTTCAGATGCAGTGTGACCAGTTGCCTCCTGCCATGCTGGTCTGTATCCCCAGGAGCTGTGGGCCACAGCAGACTGGTCCCCCTTTAAGCTGCTTCTTGTCAGGTATTTTGTCACGAGGTTCTTAGAAAAGTGACTAATTAATACATGTGAGCTGGAGGGGTGTGACTCTGAAATGACTGTTTAGGGTCTTGTGGTTTCTTTTTGGATGATGAAAACACTCTGGAATTACATAATAGTAATGGTTGTGTGACTCTATGAGTCTTCTAAAACCCACTAAATTTATACTTTAAGAGTAAATTTTGGGACTGGAGAGTACTAAATGCTCTTCCAGAGGGCCTGGGTTCAGTTTCTAGCACCCACAGTGGGTGGCTCACACCTCTCTGTAACTCTAGCTCCAAGGGATCTGGCACTCCCTTCTGGTCTCTGTGGGCATCCGGTATTTACACACACACACAGACACACAGACACACACACTCGTGTGTACACACACACACACACACACACACATAAAATAATTTTTTAAAAAGAAAAAAAGGGGGCTGGAGAGATGGCTTAGCAGTTAAGAACACTGGTTGTTCTTGCAAAAGACCCGATTCGAATCCCAGCACCCACATGGCAGCTAACCACTGTCCATAACTCTAGTTCCAGGGGATCCGACAGCCTCTTCTGTCCTCCGTGGGCATTCTATGACACAGTGCACTTACCTATATGCAGGCAATACATGCATACACATAAAATAAAAATATAAATAAAATACTTTTTTTAAAAAGGGTTAATTTTAGGTGAATTATTTCTCAAATTAAAAAGAACTGTTAACATGCTACAACACAGATGATCTTTCAAAACATTATGCTAAATGAAAGAAGCCATAATAAAGGCAGCACAGTGCATGGTTTACTAACTTATATGCAGTGTCTAGAACAGGCATATCCAGAAAAACAAAGTGGCTGCCAAGGTAGAATGGAGGCAGCAGTCAAGGAGTGATGGATGATCTCTAAGGAACTGGGAAAGATGAACATCAGCTCAAGGTGAATGCTGAGGGTGTGAATGTACCAAGGTACCTTACACATTTGCTATGGTTTGAAAGAGAGATGTCGCCCACAGGCTCGTGCATTTGAACCCTTGGTCTTCAGCAGGTGGCGCTGTTTGGGAAGGTTGTGGAATCTTTAGGAAGTAGAGCCTTACTGAGGGAAGTGGATTTCTAGGGCGTGGGCCTTGAGCTTTGATAAGCCCCACTTCCTATTCACTCTTTGCTTCCTGAGTATGGATGAATATGACCTGCCAGCCTCCTGCTCTACTGCCACACCTGCCTGACCTACCACCATGTCGTCCCTGCTGTAATGGACTGCATCCCCCAGTAACTATGGCCAAAATAAGCCTTTTTCTCTTAAGGTGCTTCTGTCAGCATAAATTATCACAGCAACAGAAAAGTATCTAAGACAGAACTTCATCGTTATCATCATCATTGTTACAATGATAATTGGTCTTTGACACAGGGTCTTACTGTGTAGCCCAGGCTAGCCTCAAATTCTTGATCCTCCTGCTTTAGCTTCCTGAGTGCTAGGATTACAGATGTGCACCACCACACCTGCTCGAATTGCACATGGTAAAGAGTGAATTTCAGGCTAGCAAGATGGCTTATCAGGTAAAGGTACTTGCCTCTAAGCCTGAAGACCTGATTTTGATCCCCAGGACCTAAGTGGTGGAAAGAGAGAACTGACTTCTACAAGTTGTACTCTGACTTCCACATGTATGCATGTATGTGTGGGTGTACTTACACACACAATTAATTAATTGAAAAAATAACAATAAGAACAAAACTCCAGACTAAGCTCTTCCAGGCTCTCCAGAGTCCACAGTTGTGCTGAGGACAACAGACCCTAATCATAGGAAGTCTGGGCTCTGTATGTCTCAATGGCTTGCACTGTAGGCACCTCCCCCTCCTCTGTTCTCCACAGCTCCGCCTCTTTTAGGGATTTTCTCCACCCAACAGGCTGAAATCTAGTTGACAATGTTAAGTGTTAAGAAGAAGTGGGGCCTGGGCTAGGGCGATGGCTCAGTCAGTAAAGTGTTTGCATTGCAGAACACCTAACTTCAATCCCTAGAACCCACATAAAAAAGCAGTGCTTGGTAGTGTATACCTGTAATCCCAGGACTGGGGAGGTAGAGACAGGTGGATCCCTAGTACTCTCTGGCCAGCCTACCCTAATTGGCAAGTTCCAGGCCAGTGAGAGACCCTGTCTCAGAAAAAAAATGTGATGGCACACCCTTAATCCCAGCACTCAAGAGGCAGAGGCAAGTAGATCTCTGTGAATTTAAGGCTGGCCTGCCTTAAACAGTGAGCTCCAGGTCTTCCAAGGATACTTAGTGAGATTCTGTCTCAAAAAACAAAACCAAAATTAAACAAAACAATGACACTCAAAGTTGTCCTCTGGCTTCCATGTGCACACACACACATACATGCACACACACACACATACCTGCACATACACACAGGAACGTATACACACACAAAATTAACAAAAGAATCAAGGTTTATTTTTGACTCATGGTTCTAGGGTTTTCAGCCCACAGTTGGTAGGCCCTGTTGCTCTGGGCCTGGGCTGAGGCACAGCATCATAGCAGGAGTACATGGGAGAAGTGGCCTTTCACCTCCTGGCAGTCAGGAAACTGAGAAAACATAGGAGGGACTCTGTTCCTTTGCGGGAACAGCACCCCCTCCCCCCAGTGCCCTAACTCTTGATGGACTCTATTTTGTTAGGTGGTATAGGCTGAGAATCAACCCTTCAACACATGGGCCCTCAGGAGGCATTCAAGACTCAAATTATAACATCTGGGGTAGGGACTGTGACTCAGTTAGTGGAGTGTTCAGCTAGCTTGAAAAAGGCCCTGGGTTCTACCCCCACACCACATAAACCAGGCATGGTGGCCCACACCTGTAATCCAGAACTTGGGAGACTGCAGGCAGAAGGATCAGGAGCTCAAGGTCATCCTCCACTACATAGAGAGTTGGAGGCCAGCCTGAGCTACATGAGACCCTAGGTGACTCCAGCTATCTTCTGAACTCTAAAGGCAACTGTATTCACATGCACATACTCCCATACAGACATACACACATGCACATGATCAAAAATAAAAATAAAACCTCTTTTCAAAAGTCTTCGCACCAGGGCTGAAGAGATGGCTCGGCAGTTAAGAACACTGACTGTTCTTGTAGAAGACTCAGGTTCAAATCCCAGCACCCACATGGCAGCTAACAACTGTCCGTAACTTGTCTCAGGGGATCTGACAGCCTCTTCTGACCTCCGTAGGCATTGCACAAAACAGGTGCACTTACCTACATGCAGGCAATACACGCATACACATAAAATAAAAACAGTAAAAAAAAATTTTTTTAAGTCTTAGCACCTATATAGAGGCTGTCTTGTCTCCTGTTCCTGTCACAAAGGAAGTATAAGCAACAATGGAAAGGACATGAGCAGAGACTCCTTCCACCTCTACCAGAGTCGAAAGCACTAAAATCCATAGCCTGGATATGCCACCTCTGCCGACTCCTACCTCAGAAGCTACTGGTCAACACCCATGAGCTTCTACACCCATGGAGGGATAGATACAGAACACAGGTACAGAGGGATGGGGACTTGCCACAGTAGATGCATCACTGAGCAAGCTGTGCTGTCATGTAGGGTCTCTTACCTCATCATACATGAACTGAAGTGTCAGGGCTGACTTGCCAACTCCTCCGCTGCCCACCATGATGACCTTGTGAAGGGCCAGGGAGCTCTGACTCTTGCTCTTGTTGGCAGCCATCCTGCTGATTTTCTGAGCTGGTGACACAGGGACAGTTGACCAAGATGGGGAGCTGCTGGTGACAGAGACAAGAACTCAGAGGTGGTATGCATTCTACCCAACTGAAGTTGAAGAGGATCAACACCCTACACTTTAAGGACTTCATTTTCATTCTTTTATAAAAAGGTTTTATTTATTTTTATTTTATGTGTATGAGTGTTTTCCCTGCATGTATGTAAGTGTACTTGTGTGTGCCTGGTGCCTGCTGATGCCAGAAGAGGCATTGGATTCCCTAGAATTGGAGTTAAGGATAGGTGTTAGCTACCATGTGGGTTCTGGGAGCCAAACCTGGGTCCTCTACAAGAGCAGCTAGTGCTCTTAACTGCTCAGCCATCTCTACAGGCCCTTTTATTCTTAATGATGTATACCTGTATGTAGGTTTGCGCACCTAAGTGTAGTGCCCACAGAGGCCAGAAGAGGGCATCGGGTCCCTTGGAACTGAAATTACAGGCAGTTATGAGCTGCCTTACCTGGGTGCTGGGAACCAAGTCTGGTTCTGTGCAAGAGCAGTCAGGCTCTTAACTGCTCAGGCATCTCTCCAGCCCCATCTCTACACCCTAGAAACAGAGGAAGAAGTGTGCAAGGCTCTGGACAGAAAGGAAGGTCCTTGACAGTCTGAACATGCTGAAGTCACTTGCCTAAGCAGAGCCAGGGCGGGGTGAAGCTGAGATAAGAACAGAGAAACGAGAGTGGACATCCCAGGCCTGTTGCTAAAAGTCAGTATATTCTGGGCTGGGAAGATGGCTCAGTTAGTGAAACACTTGCCTTACAAGCATGAAAACCTGAGTTCAAGCCTCAGAAGTCATGTAAAAAGCTGGTGGTGTGTGCCTGCAATCCCAGCACTGGCGAGGGTGAGACATGTAGATCCCCAGGGTTCATTGGCCTGTCAGTCTAGCTTAATTTGTGAAGTTTCAGACCAATGAGAGACCCTGTACAAAACAAAATGTGGAAGAAACCTAATGACACCTGCGTTGTCTGCTGACCTCCAGCACACGTGTATACACATGCATCTAACCCAATCCCCATTTAAAGAAGGCAGTACACCCTCCACAGAGCTGGAGGGTAAAGTAACCAAACTGCTCAAGATCCTATTCCCTACTACTCCCAAGTCAAAACACATGCCATGGGGGACAGCTTGGGGACCTCATTCACACACACACACACACACACACACACACACACACACACACACGGCTCAGACACCATGCTAGGAGCAGTTAGAATTGAGGCAATTTCTGGACTGAGAAAAACTGCCTACCAACAGGAGATGATGGCCAAGAGGCTCGCTTATCACCAGAGCCTTTGCTGTACAAAGTTTTCCCTAAAAAGCAACCACAGCACTCCCCCAAGTCAAGCCATTAGCCCACGAAGCTATGGCAGCTTGCAGTCCTAGGCACAGAGCCCCACAAAACCTCTCTGAGAAGGCGGGATAATGGAGCTGCCTCAGGAATATTCTAGCATAGGTCCACCATCCTAATCTTTGATACCAGAGAACACCCTATATAGAAGTCAGCATACACTCATCATCCTAGACTTAACATCAAAGAATACCATGTTTAAGAGTCAGGGCACACCTCATTAGAGGACTTGACCAACTCTGGGACAAAAACATCTGAGAAAAAAAAAAGACATTATCAAAAAAACAGATACATGTGCCAGGATGATGGTATACTCCTGTTATCCCAGCACTCAAGGGATATCAGAGAAAGGAGGATCAGAAGTTCAAGGCCATCCTCAGCTACACAGAACATTTGAGGCCAGCCTAGGCTACATGAGACCCTGTCGTGTAGCAAAAGACATGCTAAAACATTTTTGGTGTATGTGTCGGGGGGGTGGGTGTGCCTGTGTTTGTGTATATGGAAGCCAGAGTTGATGGTGGGTGTCTTTGCTCTCCACCTTATGTGTATAGTGTGTGTGTGTGTGTGTGTGTGTGTGTGCATATATGCATATGTGTGTGCACACGCATGTGGAGGACAGACGTTGATATGAGGTGTCTTCCTCTGTCACTCTCCACATTACCTTTTAAGACAATTTTCCATGTGCTATCTATTTTTGAAACCAGGCAGACTGAAGACACCTCGGCGCTAGTGTCAGCTCGGTGCATGGCTTTGGGCTGCTCGAAGTCAAGGTCACAGATCTGCTCTTCCTCCCTTACCTGTCTAGGCATCCACCCCCTCCCCATTCACTAATTATGTACTTTTTAATGAGTGGGCTAGGCATCGTGAACTAGATAATTAAGCACAGCGGACTGGGGAGGAGAACAGAATAGAACAAGGCACAGGCTCCTCACAAGGCTCCAGTTCAGTTCTGGGGCTGCCTTTGTCCTGCTTTATGGCCACCAACTGTTTCCTGCAGGGTTGAAGCTGGCAAACGGGGTTGGGCCCCCCCAGACCACCCATGTGTCCCACAATTCCTCAGAGGCAATCTTGTTTCTGTGAATTTGAGAACAACCAACATTTTTCCAAGCTGGGGGTGGGTTCCTTTCAAACACAGGCAGACAGCTAATTCTCAAATATATATATATATACATATATATATGTATGTATGTATGTTGTGTATGTGTTTGCTGTGTTATATGCATATGGTATATATGGCGTATGTATTTCTTATAGGGTGTGTGTGCACATATAAGCACATGTGTGTGGAGGTCAGAGGTCAATATCAGGTGTCTTTCCTCAATTAGTTGCTGCCTTTATTTTCTAAATTTTAAAATTAGATTTATGTATTTGCTGTGTGTGTGTGTGTGTGTGTGTGTGTGTGTGCGCCACAGCACACATGTGGAAGTCAGAAGACAACTTATGGGAGTCAGTTCTCTCCTTCCACCATATGGGTTCTAGGGATCAAACTCAGGTATACAGGCTGGTATCTTTTTACCCCCTGAGTCATCTCATCGGCCCCACCTTTATTTTTGGAGACAGAGTCTCTCACTGAGACTGAAGTTATTCATTTGGTTATGCTGGTTGCCAGTGAACTTCAGGATCCCACCTGTTTCTGCACCCTCCAGTGCCTGGGTTATAGGTACACACAGCTGTGCCTGGCTTTTTACGTGAGCTCTGCCTTTATGTATCTTCTTGACTGCATAGCAGGCACTCTATAGAATGAGTTAGTTCCCCAGCCCCATGAACTGCTATTTTTAAAAAAATATATAATCAATTTCTCTGGAATAAATAATCATCAATGAAGGCTACTCAGTAATCACTGAAGAAACAAAACCTATGCTGAGCATCCAATCTGGGGGCTGGAGGTGTGGCCCAGTTGGTACAGTGCTTGCCTAACATGCTTGGTTTGATCCTCAGTCCTACATAAACCTTGTATGGTAGCCAGAGTTGGATATATGAGATACAGTGCTAAAAAAATTTATATTTATGTGTGCATGAGAGAGAGAGAGAGAGAGAGAGAGAGAGAGAGAGAGAGAGAGCAGTGCCCTCAGAGACAGGAAGGGGGCATAAGATACCTCTAGAGCTGGAGTTACAGGTGGTTGTGAACCACCCAATTTCGAGTTGAAATTGAACTCGGGTCCTCTGCAAAAGCAGTATGTATTCTTAACTGGGGAACCATCTTTCCTGCCCCACGATCTAGTCTTTAAAACAAACAACAAAAAAACAATGTGCAGGGGCTGAAGAAATAGGTTAGTGATTAAGAGTGCTTGCTGTCTTCCAGAGAAGCCACTGGCTCCTGGCACCCATATTGAGTGCCTGTAACTCCAGCTCCAGGAGATCCAATGGGTTCCATGGGCATTGCACTCACATGTACAACCTCTCCCCGCCCCCATACACAGAAAATAAAAATAACTTTGTATTAAAAAGTGCAAATCAGAAGTAACCAAGGTGGAAATTTCAAACCTAGGCCACCACTTCAGGTGATCTGGCAGGGTGAGGGAAAGGACAGAAGACAGTGGTGGCAGTCAAGCGTTCCACACTGAATCACTCCTGGCCACACCCACCTCCCAGCTCCTGGCACTAGAGATAAGAAACTTCTCACTGTTTAAGACACACACACACACACACATGCACACACATACCATTTACTGAGGTTGATTTTGTTTTTACTTCCCCTAGAAGCCATTCCAGAAACCGCCTTTGCCCCGAAAAAACAGTCTAACCCTTCAAATGAGCCAGTAAATGACAGAAGAGGATGACAAGTTCAATGGCATAAGTGTTGAAGGGTGCTGTAGGAACAGGAGAGGCGGTATCTCAGCCAGACCAGAGGCCCCATGCACTCTCTGCTTCCCAACTGCCAGGAAATGAGCAGCTCTGTTCTGCTGCATGTTCTCCACCATGTTGGCCAGCCTCACCTCTGGTCCAAAGCAATGAGACCAAGACCATACACTAAAATCTCTGAAACTGTGAGTCAAAAGGAATCTTTCCTCCTTTTTTATTAATATTCTTATGTGTATGAGTGTATTGCCTGCATGTATGTAAGTGCACCTGTGCCATGCAATGCTCTCAGAGGTGAGACGAGGGAATTGGATTCCCCTGGAACTGGAGTTATGAACGGTTGTTAGCCACCATGTGGATATTGGGAATCAAACCCAGGTCTTCTGCAAGAGCAGCCAGAGCTCTTAACTGCTGAGCCATCTCTCCAATCCTCTTTCCTCCTTTTAATTCAATTTTGTCAAGTACCTTGTCACAGCAAAGAAAAGCTAACTAAAATACACCATTGAAAGATTAGGAATCTGTGGATGGGGAGATAGCTCAGTCAGTCAAGTGCCTGCCATGCAAACATTAGGACCTGAATTCATCCTTATAAAGAGCTGGGCATGGTGGTATGCTAATTCCTGTGCAGAGACAGGCAGACACCTGGGCCTCACTGGCCAGGTAGTCTAACCTACTTGGCAAATTGTGGGTTGAGTGGGAGACCCTATCTCAAAAGAAAGGAAAAGAGGGAGGGAAGAAGAGGGAGGGAAAGGTGGAACAGAGCCTGAGGAAGATGAGAACACCCAAGGTTGTCCTATAACCTCCTCGCACATGTGCACATGCGCCCAGACACGTGTACCTACAAACACATACACACATA